GTCACAGTCACGGTCAAGTACTCCGCAGACGGCCCGCGCACGGGGAGGGCTCACCTCTGCTGGTGTCCAGGAAGGTGTAGGTGGCCGTGAAGCCCTCCATGTTGATAGTCGCGTCCGTCTTGAACACCACGCTCATGACGGTGTCCGTGGAGGTCAGCACGGGCGGCACGGTCCTGCCGCAGAACCTGCAGCAGAGGGTGCAGAGTCATGCGCCTGCCAAGGGCTGCGGTGCTTTGGTGGGGGCTTGGTCTGCGTTGCCGTGGGACTTACTTGCCCAGGAGCCCGCCCGTGCCGGGAGTGGTGCTGTTGTCGTACACCGCCACGTAGTCCACGTTGCAGGCGGTGCTCTTCTCCATGACCAGCGTGACAAAGGTGAGCTGGACGACGAAGCCGGGCGGCGCGACCAGCAGCCACGAGCACTTGGTGTTGCTGCCGTGGTTGCCGTCGGCCCCCCTCGGGGACTCGATGAGGCCGTGCCGCTCCTTCAGGATGCCGCCGCACTCTGGCATGCCACCAAACGCGTTCTTATTGTAATTGTTTGTTCCAGCATTATTGGTTCGAGCCGAGCACGGCCCCGGACTCACCCAGGTCGATGGCGGAGTAGTTGGCGCGGAAGCCGCCGTGGTTCAGCGAGCTGTCCGTCTTGAACTCGATGAACATGTAGTTGTGGGTGGACACCAGCGGCCGGTCCGGCAGGTCCGGCTTCTCGCCGCAGAACGTGCCGAGGAGGGTGGAGTTCCGGTTGTCACCATCGCGCACCTGAGGCGAGACAACACACCCAGAGCGATGAACATTGGATGGGGGAGACTTCCGGTCACTCCTAGGGGTTTTAATTTTCCGGGAAAGTATTTCTAGACATTTTTTCGACTTATTTTTTTGTTCATTTTTCTAAAAATATTTCAAAACTTTAAAAAAATGTCCGACTTGAAAATTCTGCCCTTACCGCGACGTAGTCGTAGTAGCAATCCCCGCGCGCGCTGTTGTGCTCCACGTCGAAGTCTAGGAACTGCAGTGAGACGGCCGTCCTGGGCGGCAGCCGGATCTCGTACGTGCACCGCCGGTCGGCCGGGTACGAGCCGGGGAAGTAGGGCGAGGTGATGACCCCCTGCGCCTCGGTGAAGACGCCTCCGCAGACTGCGTGCGGACCAATACGTCATGAGCGCTCTGCTACTGTACCGATTTCCCCGAGGCAAAGGGAGGGGTCCTTCGAGGAGTACTTAACTTAAAATACCAGCGAGTAGTACATAATAGGGAATCAAACGATGATCATTAGAATTCAACATGGGCCCGACTTGATCATTAGTGATCCCACAGGATAGACTTGATCACCCCCCACCACCCCCAACACAAAGGCCCTATACAGAAAATCAATAGCCACAAGGCCAACCCAGCCAACCTCTTAGTCATAAGATGGCGCAACCTGTTGTGCAATACATCATCACCCCCAACGCAGAAGCCCCGTGCAGCGATTCCGTGTCTGACAATGTCTTGAACAACAGGTTGCGCCATTATGACCAAGAGGTTGGCTGGGTGGCTATTGATTTTCCGCTCGGGGCGTCTGCGTTGGGGGTGGTGGGGGGTGATCAAGTCTATCCTGTGGGATCACTAATGATCAAGTCGGGCCCCATGTTAAATTCTAATGATCATCGTTTGATTCCCTATTATGTACTACTCAGCGTACACCAATTTTGCTTGATTTTAAAAAAAATGTTTTTCTTGATTTGAATTTTGATTTTGGTAATTATCAAAAAAAAATTGCAGCAGGCTGTTACACGGATTATTTTGTTTTGTGAAGTAGAAGTATCCCTCGGGGGTCCTCCTTGTTTCACTTACAAACTTCGTAGTGCAGCGTGAAGCCGCTGCGCGCGAAGGACGGGTCGGAGACGAAGACGACGTAGGCCGTGTTGGACGTGGTGGAGAGCGGCGGCGGCCGGTCGTTGCCGCAGTACTTGCCCAGGAGGGGCGCGGCGCTGCTCGGGCCGTCGTACACCTGCGCAAGGCCACGTGAGTAAGTGGCGAAGGGGCAATAACTCCCTTTTGATGTGTACACACGATCCCCGAAATCTTTGATTCCCAGTTATTCCCGTCCACTTATGTTCATTCCTTAGGTTTTCTAGTGGTAGAAAATGCTTATTTCGACTAATTTGTACGAGTTCCACTAGTTTCCTGCTTACTTTAAGCGCTTTCTGTTGGTTTCGATTAATTTTTATCCTGATGATTCCCAGGCAGGTGTACACATGATTCCCGGAGTTATTGCCCCCTCGGTAAGTGGCGTACACTGTACGGCCCGGGTGTTCCAGCCAGAGTTCTCAAACGGGTGGGTCTTGCGGCTGCTTTTGGACCCGCCACTGCGGGTGGGGCGGGTGGGTCGAACGGGTATGGGCTACCCGCCGCACCGTGCGGAAGTTGCAAGTGGGGGATCAACCGCTCTAACCGCGATATCTTTTTTATTCAGTGTAGAATCGAAGATTTACTCATAGTGTGTGCTCTTTAGAACAAAGGCGTTTTGCTTCATAAAATTAAAACTGAAATTTTATTCAAAATTTATAAGAAACTACGAAGTGAAGAAGAATTTCTCCTGCTCACGGTGCATTTTTCAAAAGAAAACAAAAACCAGAAAACAATTTTGAAATATTATTTTGCACATTATTGTCATTATCCCGTTTTGTCGTAGCGGTGCGTCCAATCAACTCTATTTCGCATATTTAGCTGGAAATTTAGGCTCAAAGTTGCATTGCTCCCACTGAGCCGAGCCGGCTGCGTCACCTATCGGCTCGGCTCGTAGTGCGCGCTCTCTCGCACGCCTGGCGTGCGGGTAGAGGGACCCACCCGTTTGAGAACTCTGAGTTCCAGCAGCCAACCTGGACTAGCACCACAGCGTAGCCTACCTCGAGCCTGTCGAACACGCACTCCGTCGACGCCTCGAGCGCAAACTCGCCGGGGAAGTCGATGACGAGGCGCTCGTTTTTCGGCACCTGTATCTTCCAGCCGCAGTTCATGTTGTCGCGGTAGCTCGCCCCGTCCATCGGGGGCGTCAGCGTGCCCTCGGGGTCCGTGAAGACGCCGCCGCAGCCGGGGGTGCCTGCGGGCAGCGGGCGCGGCCTTTGAGCGAGTGCCGAGGGGGGAAAGCTGGGGAAAGCAGGGTGTGTGCCAGGGGCAACTCCCCTCTCCCCGCCAGGTCCCGGACCCTCGAGCAGTGCTCATCGTGGGTCTATGGGACGTGGGGCAGAGGGACACCCTTGTACACGGCTCACTTGGGAACGCTAGTGTCAAACAGGCACGCAGTTCTTTCTTTGAGTAGTACAGGGGCACTACACATAAGATGTTGTCATGTTGTGAAAGACCATTTCCGATTTGGTCACCAATTGTTAGGAACACTCGGTGCACTGTACGACACTCGAGTTTCGCGAGAGCATGCGCGGTATCGCCACCCTATTCCCTAACCCTCGATGGCCGCCGCCGCGATCTGGAAGCCGGCGTCCTGCCGGAAGGCGTCCGAGTGGAAGTGGAGCGTCAGCTCGTGGCTCGAGGAGGTGAGCGGCGCCGGGTGGCTGGTGGAGTTGCAGTAGCGCGCCAGCACCTGCTCCGAGTCGTAGCCGTCCAGGACCTGCGCAGCCGAGCAGACGACACATGAAGGCGTCAAGGCGCGGACGCTCAACCCCGCAGCGCCAAACACCGAGAGGTACTCAGTGTACACATCAAAAAAAAATCGAAAAAAAGGGGGGAAAATTCGAGGAAAAGTCAGGAAAAATCAGGGAAAAAAACACATGAAAAAACACACAAGTTGGTGAACGTTAGAGTTGCTAAGCGCCCCACACCAACCTCCAGGTAGTCGAAGCTGCAGTTCGGGTGCGACTCGATCTGCATGGAGAAGAAGTGCAGCTGGATCCTCTGGCTCTCGGGCACGCGGAGGTGCCACACGCAGTCTCTGTTGGGTGGGTACATGCCCGGCGACCCCGGCGAGCTCACGGAGGCGTGGGACGTGAACTGTATCTCGCCGCCGCACACTGCGGGCACCGACATGTGACAGTTAAGTAGGGCTGGTTAGGAGCTAGGGCGTTTCTCGAGTGTTTCTTTGTGTTCGGTCGCAGGCGCCTGGCTGAGGTCTATAGCTGGGGATGCCCGCAAGGAGCAGCTTCTACACGGGGTAATCTCACCTGGGGCAATGGACGTCCAGTGTAGCTCGAAGCCCCTGCTGCCGATGTTGAGATCGGAGCGGAACCACAGGTACAGGGTGTGCGACGTCGACACGATGTTGCCCTTCTTGGGCAGCTGGTTGCCACAGAAGCGGCCCACCTGGTGGGCACCCGACGTGGGCCCGTCGTGGATCTGTAAACAGGACGGTGTTTCCTATACCGTTCCGACGTCGCCGTTTGGCATTCGGTAGCCCGGCAGCCCCGGCCTCGCGCCAGCTCTCGCGGTGGTGCAGTACCTGTAGCCAGTCGTAGCTGCAGTGCGCGCTCAACTCGACGTCGAAGTACTTGAAGGTGACGTTGAGCACGAGGGTGGAGTTGGTGACGATGACCCAGCCGCAGTTGACGCCGTGCGGGTACTCGCCGGTGCTGTTGGAGTGCGGGAAGCGCAGCGTGCCCTCCTGGCTCCGCAGGAAGCCGCCGCAGGCTGCCGGAAACGGAATAAGGATTGGAATTCTACAAAAAAAGTATTTTTGGGATACTTTTTAAGATTTAAAAAAAAGTCTTCACATTTCCCTCTGATGAATACCATTTTTCTCGCCATTTCTTAAAACGATTTTTCTGAAGAAAAAAAAATTCTGGAAATGTTTCCAACTTTTCCGGAAAAAATTCAAACCCTACCAGACGGGCGACCCGATTCTGCAACCTCCGGTCCCGATCTCAGATGGGCACCGGAAGTGGGACTCACCCTCCTGCCTGCTCTCGCAGTTGGTGCCGGTGAAGCCGTCCGGGCAGTCGCACGTGTACGCCGAGGAGTCGGGGCCGGACGGGCGGCACGTGGCGCCGTTGAGGCACGGGCTGGTGGAGCAGGGCGCGCGCACCTCGCAGTCCCGGCCGAGGAAGCCCGGCGCGCAGGTGCACGTGTACGAGCCCGCCGAGTTGGTGCACGAGCCGCCGTGCTGGCACGGGCCGGAGGCGCACGGCCCCGTGGGCGTGCCGGCGGGGTCCGGGTACGCGCTGAGCGGCGCGCAGCCCTTGGGCCCCACCCCGGGCCCGGACCAGCCCGGCTTGCACTGGCACGTCACCGCCATCCCGGAACCTGCAACAGAGTTTCAGCAGCTTGTAGTGTCGTCGTTTTGGCACGCCAACGCGCTGCGCTCAGCTTCGTCCCCAACAACTTACGAGAGCTCGGCCCCTGTGATAATCGGGGTAGGCAACGCCGCAGTGCACGTATGCACTAGAGGCAAGATGTTGCCTGTCTTCCAGGAGCTATATGAGACCTTGCATTGGCTAGCTGAACTTGGGAGTTAGATGATGGGCACACTTTTTGATTTGAATGATCCGAGGGCGATAGTTTAAGTTAAAGAACGAGCTTACTCCGTAAGCACCACATTCATTTTGTGATATACGTCTGCCTCGTTTTGTTTTTTTTTAAAGGTGGTTTATTCTGAATAACGGTCATTTGTATGAGAATGTTTTAAAAAGCAGCAAAAGGAAACAAGAAAAGAAAACTGGGGTACAGTCATGGATCCTAAATCCGGACGATTTTTAGCGAAAAAGTCCTGTGAAATCCGTACTTTTGATGATATTGAAAATCGGTGGGAACAGTAAAATCTACGGACCAAGACGCACCTACCACCACCTTGAACGATTTTTTATCATCTACGGTGTACCTGTGAAGCCCGCTAGAACACTGTCCGTGTTTAAGAGCCCCAGTGCCCTAAATACGGACAGTCTGTTATAAATCATGAAAAGTGAAAAATTGTTGGGGGGCAAAGAAACTTCATGAAAAATTTGACCTTACCCTACTGTCGAAATTTTCTTATCTTGTATAGTTTAGCCGCCAGAACTGCTTAAAGGTCGCTTTTAGAGTGCCTTTAATCTGGACAACAGTCACTTTTGCATGTAAAAGCCTATGTCTGTATTTAGGGGACTTTCGGAAATCGCTTCTCAAACTTGACAAAAGTGACATAAACAAAATTTTCTTGTGTCATCTTGGAGGTGAAGAGTCCTAGTTTCACATATGTCAACCTGAAAATTGTACGATCACCCACCGTTTAGAGCCCCATATTTTGGCAAAGCAGTATAAAAATTGTCCGTTTTCATGGCGCAAGTTTGGCATTTTTTTGAGAGAACAGTATGCTAGATATCGGAAATATTTCTTCAAATCTAGATTCTAGAAGGTCTAACCTTTTTACTGTGAAAAGCAGTAGGTAGGTTTACAGGAAAATTTTCCTTGACGCAAGTTGTAAAATTACAATTTGAAATCGTAAAAATACATGCAGTACGTATCGACTTAAAATCCATTGCCGAGGAAAAAATCTGCTCTCGTAAATTTACAACTTAAAATATAATTTAAGTTTACAAAAATGTTGTAAATTTACGGCGATATTTTTCAGTGTTCCAACGAACCTTCGGAAGCTATATTTTGGATAACCGTTTTCGATTTAGGGGCTTTATTAGTAGAAAACAGCAAAGTGTCCGACATTATGGCGCTAGTCCGAAGTTAGGATTGATGACTGGACATATCTGATATTCGTGATCGGGTACTCACGCCGCAGACCCACGACAACACGAGCACACAGGCACGATCTGTCTGTGTTTTCGACAGGTATTTGGGTATAAAACGGTCGCTTGTCAGTCAGGCTCCTCGTACGTAAGTCTGGTATACATTTTTGTGAACAACCATGCGTCAAGAAATTGCGCTCATGTCCGTCGTCGTCGTGGCCGCGGTGCTGCTCGCTGAGGTAAGGACCTTACAAGTTTGGGGGATCTGATCGGCAATTGCGATATTATAAAAACCACCGTCGAAAACAATTATAAATACTTCATTAGGAGGGGAACTGAGTGAAAATGTCTAAAATAGTTACGAAAGTGACGAAGTTGGGCTGAAACATTGACACGTGTGGATCCGTGCAAATTGAAATATCTGTTTAACAAGTATTCCGCTGCATCTCGATTCACCAGTGTTTTCCTTCTCTCGTGTCCCCTCTAGAGCGGCAGTGCGGCCGAAGAGGTTCTCGTTCGACCGGAGCGCTCGCCGCTTCCCGGGTTCCACCTGCCGTGGTCCAAGAAGGCCAGCAGCAAGGTGGTCCCGGTGGGCGCCAGCCCGCCCGCCGGCCAAGCTGGACCCCTGAACGGCGGCGTCCCTCTCAACAGGATCCGCAACGGCGGTGGTGGCAAGTGACGGGTGGCGCCCCCTCAGCACACTGCCTGCGCTCTCCCACTGCCCATTTGCAGCCTAATGAGACACGCAGGTATCACACGGGAAGAGAAAGAAGGAAAGTAAGCTGATTTTTTTGAGGAATTATTGTCCTAATAAAATCCGCTATCGACCAAAGTATCAAAATCATTGACTCCCGAGACATTGGATCTCAATAATATCGTGAATAATGCCACGCCGATAAGCAAACTATCGCAGCACGGCAGCGGGAGCATATCGATATAGCCCTCGACATCTCGATGCTATCGCTATCGCACGCTGGAACCTTACCGGCCAGGTTGATGCACAGGGCCTGCGGGTGGCAGCCGCCGTTGTCGACCTGGCACACGCCCTGGTAGCTGCAGGTCCTGCCGTCGCCCTGGAAGCCCGGCGGGCAGGCGCCGCACGCGCTCGAGCCGCGCGTGTTGATGCACTGGACGCCGGCCGCGCAGCCGCCGTTGTTGGTGGCGCACTCGTCCACGTCGGCGCAGTAGTAGCCGTTGCCCAGGTAGCCGGGCGGGCACGAGCCGCAGCGGAACGAGCCGGGCGTGTTGAGGCACGGCACGGCCGGGTCGTGCGAGCAGGGCGGCCTGGCCTCGGCGCACTCGTCCACGTCCTGGGTGCAGGCGCGCGTCGCCGGGTCGAGCCGCCAGCCCGGGTCGCAGTGGCAGGTGTAGCCGCCCGCCGCCGCGGACGCCGGGATGCAGAGGCCGTGGCCGCCGCAGAGGTCGGCCCCCGCCGCGCACGACGCCTCCTGGTCCGCGCAGTGCAGGCCGAAGCGGCCCGCCGGGCACAGGCAGCGGTAGGAGCCCGCCGTGTTGAGGCAGGTGGAGCCCGCCTGGCAGCCCAGACCCGTGCCGGACAGGCGCGCGCACTCGTCCACGTCCGCCTCGCACAGCGCGCCCTCCCAGCCCGCCGGGCAGCGGCACACGAACGCGTTGTACGCGTCCTCGCACGAGCCGCCGTGCAGGCACGGGTTGCTCGCGCACTCGTTGGTGTTCAGCAGCCGCTCAATGGCGCGCACCTTGCGCTCCGCCGTCCTCAACTGCGGGCAAGTGCGGGTGGGGTTGGGAGGGCGTCGCGGAGCACACACAGAAAAAACCTTCCTCGATTCGAGTACATCTGTACTCGGGTAAGCACAAGATCAAGGTTTTTCCTTCAAACAAATTTCTCTTCTCAATGGGGAGCCCACCACTCCTCCCCGTGCCCATCGCCATCTTCACCTCAGTTCTCCGGATCCTGCTGTTCTCCTACTACCTTTTTCGAACTCTATTGAAATACCCTATTTTAAAAATATTTATGCATTGTTCCAAGTGAAAATTGCACTTGTGCAGACTCCAGTACAAGCTTACTTGAACCAAGCAAGGAATTTTCTGGTTGCGCGCGAAACAGGCCGGCCTCGGACAAAGGTAACCTAACCGAAGACTAAGGTAACCTAATCTAGAACTAAGCTAAACCAGCCTAAGACTTATGTACTTACCTAGGACCTACAAAACGTACCCGAGTACTTAGGCAAGGTAAGCTTCTAGGACTTCGGTATCCTAACCGAGTACTTAAGCTGTAGCCTAACATAACCTTACCCTGCGGCTGATCGTGGTGAGGACTCCAGCGTCAGGCCGCGCGGACGTCTGCAAGCACGAGAAAAGGGGTGTGAGCCGGTCGCGCTAGCAGAGAGCGGCACGTGTGTCCCGTTCGCAGGCCCTGCCCTGTACGCACCGTGTTCTCCATGGCCTTCTCCAGCCGCTGGACCTTGTGGCCCAGGTCGCCGATCTGCTGGACGAGCTGCGGGACTTGCACGTCTGTGACGCGGCTCCGGAAACCCGACTCGCGGAACGTCTCCAGCATCGGGCCGATCGTCCGCAGCTGCGTAAGTGAGTGAGCCGCGTTAGACCAGCCAGCGCCAGCAGCATCTGCCCGCCCCTTTGGTCGGCGCACTCACCGATCTGACCACGGCGCCGATGTCCTGTCCCTGGATGTTGAGGCTCTGCAGCGCAGAGATGGTGATGTTACGCGGGCCCTCGATGTACAGGTGGCCGTTCTCCACCCGCAGTCGCGGCCTGGGTGGATTAAACATAGCACTGTTTTAATGCCTATGCAGAAAATCTAACGTTTCTCTTTGGCACCGGGACGTACGCGTTAGCTCCGAAGATGAACCCGAGGGAGTAGTCGAGGACCTCGCTGAGGACCTGTAGGCCGAGCAGCACGCCGAGGAGCGCTCGGCCGCGGC